TCCAAAATGTCATAGCTATATCGTAACTGAACTAGCATTTGAACTCCAATCTTTCTGATTCCAAAGACAGTTTTTCCTCTATGTCAGGCTGCCTTTCTGTGCTAAGCCTAGCACATGCCTAATAGCATTAAACCTTTAACTACTGTTAGCAAATTACAGCGGGCAATATCTCAAAGAATTGAGAAGCAGCCACTTCCCCGACTGCACTGATTACTAACTAGAAAGTTCCTCTTCCTGTCTGCCTCAAAGCTAGGATGGAAAGGGTCTTCCTTTCCTCAGGTGACAATCTCTTATAGTTTGAGGGCCATGGTGTGTCCTTTGAGTCATCTGTGGTTAAGTAGTCCCTTGCTTCATCATAGGATGTGCTATTCCAACTCCTCTCAGTACTAGGGGTTCTTCTTTGGTCACACTTGGTAAAGTGTTGACAGAAACCTGCCTCCAGTCTGCCACATGAAGGTTGACGAAGTAGGGAGGCTGGTCAGATACCTAGAGAAGCAATGGTGGCTGCTACTTGAGATGGGGAGTTTGGAGCATGGTGGCGCTGGGGACATGGACTCCACAAGGCGTGGGCCTTGCCCTTCATTCTTCAGTGGTCTGTCTCCCTTGTAGAATCTTCGCGAGGACAAGTCTCTGTCTCATCAGTTGGTACTGGCAAAAATTGTAACCGGCACTCACTACTACTCAGTGTCTTTTGTTTTGTTGTTTTTTAATAGGGTTTTGAGACAGCATCTCACTACAGTGTGTAGTTCAGCGGGCTGGACTTGAACTTGCTATGTAGCACACAGACTGGCCTCGAACTCCCAGAAATTCTCCTGCCTCACTCTCCCAAGTTAAAAAATTACAGGTGTGCACCACCATGCCCAGCTCAAAAGCTAATTTTGTCATACAAATGGTTTATAAACTTCTTTTAAAAAAAAATTGTTTTCTTAGCCTTGTGAGGAATTTCATGCTTTGGTTTAATCTCAGTAAGGTGAAAATTGACCAGAATGAAATGTCTTACCTCTCAAAATGGAGCAGTTTCATGTAGTCATGTGACTTTAAAGTTGCTTAATCAATTAATTAATTTTGGTGATGATGGGGATCAAACCCAGGGTCTTACACATTCTAGGCAAGCATGCTACCATCGAGCTACTCCCCAACCTTAAGTGTTTGGTTCTTTTTTTTTTTTACTCTTTTTGAGATTGGAATATAACACATGAGATAAGAATAGTAATTAGTTAAGCATTTGGTAAGTGATCTTGGGAGGTAGGTAGGCACTGTTCTAAGCATCTTTAACACCATAGGAGCCCTGTGGGGCGGGTGCCCATATTATTCACACTTTACAAATGAGGACTAGAGAGGTTAAATGAGTTGCTAGAAGAGAGCAGGGCCAGGGTCATATTCAAGAATTTGCTGCAGAGCTCCTGCTCCTGACCACCGTGCTAATAGTGAGTGAGTACAGCCAGGCCATTACCCAGGGATCGAGTGCTCCTGGCTGGTCGGGTGAATGCAGTAAGTTACTGTTTCAGTCGTGTCTGTGGTTGAAGGTGTCATCGAATGTTCTTAGTGTATTTTTTCTTTTATTACTAATCAGGATTTAAAATAGTTCCATTTGAATCCCGCTGTCTTGTATTCATTGAGTAAATCTTTATTGAATATCTATCATATGCCTAGCATGGTTAGAGGTGGTAGGAATATAGGAGTGAACATGGCAAACGAGGCCCCTTCCCTCATGGAGCTTATGTTCCTGTAAGAAAGCCAGAGAAGAAATGCCTAAGTTGCTATGAAAAAAATAATGCAGGTGAAGAGAGAAAATAACCGAGCTGAGGCTGTTCTTAACAAGAGCCAGGAAGGAGCTTCTCCGCAGAGGTGACATTCGTAGGAGACCGTTGAGGAGTAAGGAGATGGGCTTTGGGAAGACCAGAGGAAGTGTCCAAACAGAGGGAGCGGTCGGTGCAGATGCCAGCTCTGGGAGGGACAGCAAAGACAGGAGATGAAAGGGAGAGGGCAAAGCCCTCAGCAAGGACCTGCCCCAGGCTCCATTCCAGGGGGACAGGAAGCAGGGGCACATGGTTGTCACTGGCTGCTGTGTGGGATGGCTTGTGACCCAAGAGTGATCTTGTAATAGTATCACAGGGAGTGTTGTATCATACATAATAACTTTCTAACTAGACTGCCTAATTTATTTTTCAAAGTTGTTATTATTCAGGCAATGCTCTCATTTCTTAGTCATTTGAAGGTAGAAAATGATACTGTGAACCCCCTGCAGGTAGAAGGTAGCATTTACTCCTCTGGTGACTTTGTGGTCAGGTCTTCACAGTAGTTAGGAACAACATTGATGATGAAGAATGAACTTCAGTTTTCTTGAATCTAAAGCAGGGGAAGCTGGACATGGTGCCACACACCTGTAATCCCACCTCTCAGATGGCTGAGGCAGGAGGATCGCCACAAGTTTGAGGCCAGCCTGGGCTACACAGTGAGTTCAAGACCAGCCTGAACTACGTAGCAAGACCCTGTCTCAAAATAACAACCAGAAAACAATCAATCAATAAATAGATGGAATGACTGTGAAGTGGAACAGTGAAACATTCTCCCCAGTATACTGTGCGAACTTTCAGCTTTCGTTATTATATAAGCCTTTTGAATTTTATTTATATATTTGGCCACACATAAGCATTATTTTATGTTGTATCTATTTGAAGTACGCTCGGAGTAATTTAAATGAAAGGGAAAGTTTAGAACTATATATTTTATCTAGTTTCTGATGTTTTCTTATAATTTAAATTTGATTTTCATGTTATTATAGATAATGAATAATTTGTATACTCTATTATTAATTCCATGAAGTTCTAGAAATGATTCTTACTATATATAAATTCAGACCTCTTAGAAATTATGTGTTCAACCTGTACTCTTAAAATATATGGTGATAAAACTTTGTGAAATATAAAGAAATGCAGCCATCTCAATCAATTTCTGTGTTTAAAAGGGTATCTTTTAGATACCTAGAAGTAAGCTTATCTAGAAGTAAGCTTATCTAGAAGTAAGCTCCACATTTATTCAGAATGGTTGATGAATAGAATATTTGGGAGAAAGCTGGGGGTTTTTTTTGATAATGAAGGTTATTAGTCAAAGGATTCTTGCCCTTACAATTTATAAAGAACTAAAAATTAAACCAGGCATGATGGCTTACATCTATAATTCCAGCACTCTGGGAGGCTTAGGGAGGAGGATGGCAAGTTTGAGCCCAGCCTGGGTACTCTAATGACTTAGCAAGACCTGCCTCAAAAAAAAAGCAGGGGTGGCGGTGGGGGCTGGGAATATAGCTCAGCACAGAGGCTTCCGGCTTCAATCTCCGACACTAAAAGAAGTCGAATTCCATCACTGAGCACGTGTTCACACTGAGGCTCAGGATGTGCGCGGGTTCCTGACTGGTTGGGGCTGTAGGCTCCAGGTTCCTCATACCAGGTTCAATCCCTGTTGTTGTTCTTCTCCAGGAAGCTTTCAGAAAGCCTTTGTTGGATAATAAACTTTCTAAGACATGCTATCTGCCTTGTAAAAACAACTTTGAGAATATAATGTAACTTTTCTTGATTTGTTCAGAAGCTACTTCCATTTAGATAATGGACTAAAATCATCTTTTAAAAAAACTGTATTTAAAAATTTTCTTTTTGGGCTGGGGATTTAGCTCAGTGGTTACGGCGCCTGCCTTGAAAGCACAAGGTCCCAAGTTCAATCCCCGGTACCAAAAAAAAAAACAAAAATTTTCTTCTTGTGGATTACTGAATCAAATTGGTTAAATGTTCCGAGTCTTTGCAGTCTAGGTGAACAGAAGCGAACCAAAGGTCCTTTCTAGCCAGTGTTTAATTTCCATATGAGTTAACAATGCAGTTTCTTATCAGGCAGGTCCCTCACAGTTTATGAGTCAGGCTTCCCTAACTCCTAGTAACAGCACAGTGAACTCTAGTTTTTATAGCTGATGACTTCACTGGGACTTGTCTAGACAGCAGTTACCCTATAAAGTCATAGCGTGTTAGGGCTGGAAGAGATCTAACAAAGATACTGTAGCTTAGATGGCCTACATGTTCTGTTTGCCATTGTAGCCATGGTTCTGGGGCCTGAGGGAAGTTGAGACCAGTGACTTCAGCATGAAAAGTGGAAAACTGATAGGGATGTGTCTGGGGAAGGGTCTAACCTTGGTGTTGGGTGCAAGTACAAACATACAAAAGTATTATTCTCTGGAAACAGCAGCAAATGGGAAAGGCATTTGATGCCCGGTCATGTTTGTCAAAATGGGCGAGGTTTTTGGAGGTGATACCCAGAGAAAGTAATTATAGTAAATAAATTCATAACCTTTTGAATTGGCCCTTTTTCGCAAAGACATGCTGGCTTTAAAAATAATGCTTGCATTATATTTTTTGCTAATAAAATCCATATGCTATCATTTATTTAGTCAACAATATATCAAATAGAAAAACGGATTGACTTCTTTAAAAAACTTTTTCATGGTTTCACATTCCTGGTTATTAACATAAACTGCCAAAGGTAGTTTCATGTAGAGTCTGAACTCTGTAATCCCACTGCTTCACTGGCCTGTAGGTGACAAAGACTAGAATGTACCTGCTAGTCTGCAGGAATCCAATCACTTGGACTGAGTTAGATTGGGTCTGAGAAGCTGGATAGAAATGGGCTTGTCTTTGAGAAAGCGGCTGAGGGGCCTTTTTGTGACTTGAGTGCTTAAACAGTTACACAGGTAGGTGAGGCAATTTTGAAGTAAGTGCCCTGAGGCCACATGTTGGTTGAGCTTTCCCTTAGCTTTGTGAATGTAGGAGAGTGACATATTGCTAAGACTTTCTTCAGAGGGAGAATGCTAATGATTTCCTGATGCTTTTGACTCACTGGGAATATATATAAAGTGTTTTGTATATGGTGAGCAGTTTTTGGTTTCTGGTGACATATGCTCTGCTCTCATCCTGTGATGATGACTAACTCCCTGCTCCCTCTGATTGTATTCTTTATAGGAAGCTGCCCTCTGCAGACAGCTCCCCATGGAAGCAGAGTCCATGGCCACCGTTCAGGCTGCTGTCAACCCGCCCGCCATGACCCCAGACATGAGATCCATTACCAATAATAGCTCAGATCCTTTCCTCAATGGGTAAGTTTACATTTGGGGCCATTGATTTTTGTTGTCTTTATTTATGTGGTCTAGGCTTCATTTACATTGGGAAAAGGTGAAAAACTGGACAGTTGAGGATGCAGTAGAGGGAGGAAGTAAGGGGAGCTGTCACCAAAAAGGAAGGCAGAGGAAAGCATTTACTTTTATAAAATCCTCAGATTAAAAAATTAGTGATATGACGTGGAGTAAACCTTAGTCAATAATTTGGAATATGGGATGAACTTCTAATTTAAACAGGATGGTATTATCTAGTAATTGTATTTGGAAGAATCTTGTGGTTTTATGTAATCAACAAAAGGATAAAAGCATGTCCATTGCAAATTGAGAACGAAACAATTAAGAGATGATGTTTATAGTGAAATGTGAGTAAGGCCTATAGTTTAGATAATAGCATACCACAATGTCAGTTTCCTGGTTTGGGCAATTGTGTTGTGGTTGTGTAAGATGTTATCATTGAAAGTCCACACAGGGACTCTGTACTCTTTTCTACATCTTCTGTGTGAGTCTAAAATTATTTCACAATTTAAAAATTAATTAGAACAAAGAGATGATGTTTTTGAAAAAAGAAAACATAGGAGCAGAAGGAAAAGATAATTTAACCACAAATATCTGCATGAGTAGAAGTAGTCAACCCTAAAAATAGCCTTTTAAATCTCAGCAACAGGGAATACTCTATTTCTCATGTTTTTCTGCCTTTGAAGAGACTTCTGGGAAACCAGCAAGGACAATTAAAGATAGAGAGATGAAAATAAACAGCAATCAAAATAATGATGGAATAGGATTTTTAAGTTGTTGATTTTAAAGTATGGGAAAATATGAAGAATAATGTAGGAGTTACTGATGTACCCACTCCCCAGATTTGCTTTATTTCTACCCAGTCTTATTTTTTAAATAAAATATTAAATCCATTCCACTAGCGCCCCATTTTTGTCTCTTCTTCACTCCCCAGTGGTGACCACTGTGCAGAAACTGATGTGTATCTTACACATAAATTTCTCACTCCCGTAAGTGTGCGTATCCATATGTAGTATTCAACTCTTTTCTTTTTTTAAATTTCATATAAATAGCATCATACTCAAATGTAGAACTGTGTCCATGTGGTTACTTGGAAATGCAGAGGAAATCAGTGTCGCTGTACTGTGAATAGTCAGTTTTATTTGCTTATAATTTATTAATTTCATTAATATTGGGTTGTATTTTTCAAAATCAAAGGGCAATACAGAGTCTTCTCCCCTTTACTCCCTGGGAAATGGAGCAGAAGGATACTCAGGCCAGTACAGGGTTGCTTGACTGTTTTCACTGTGGATTTTATTTAGTGCCCTCACACAGACGTCTCCATCTTTTGCTCCTCAGAGGGCCCTACCATTCGAGGGAACAGAGCACGGACAGTGGCCTGGGCTTGGGGTGCTACAGTGTCCCCACAACTCCGGAGGACTTCCTCAGCAATGTGGATGAGATGGATACAGGTAGAGCACAGCCTGCAAGTACTTGCATGTGTTTATTTTTAAATTGTCTTTTTGGTCATCTTTGTTCTAAAATCCAACCAAAAACCCTGAATCTCAACAACACAAAATGACAACTGAAAAGCCACTCAGCCCGTAGGCACTCTAAATAAACTCTAGCCCCCTTTTCCAGAGTATATACAAATATAGTTTTACATAAGGGTGCAGGATATTAACTTCTATTTTTTAAAAACTCATCCTTCCTTCACCTGGCCTCCTTCTTGCAGTTGTGTTAGGAGAACCATGCTCTGCCCATCTTTCACAGTGGGATCTCTGTGGTGCTTTTGATTTTTAGTTGCAATGTATGGACCACTTTTTCTCCAGAAAAGAGTATGATTTACAGTTTCACCAACATGCAAGAATTTTCATGTCATTCACTGCACTTGGGAAGCAACTGGTAATGATCATTTAGAAAGTTAAGCAAGTCAGGGGATTCTAAATGGTTAGCTCCACGTTCTTGCACGGTAATAATGTCCTTCCTCTGCAATCTCAAAGAAGGGGGCTAAGGTGACTGTTCCTGGTCTCCAATCTGTGCTTCCTTCAGGCCACAGCTCAGCAGCCTTCCTGCTTGTCTCTCATTTTCTTCTATCCTCAAGGACTGAGGCATCAGATTGCAGATCTGAATTTATCTTTATTAGCTTAATCTAGACTTACTTGTGAAAGTCAGAAACTCTCAAAATGTATTCTAGAATCAGAATAGCTGAGGTGTCCACTCTTGGGAGTTATTCATGCAGGTTTCTTCTGTATCATCTGTGATAATAGAAACTTCATTGTCCTATGATGAAAATAAAAAATTACTTTTCCAGTATATTTGTCCCTTGTGCCTGTGGTCTATTACACTCTCTCCTAGATGACGTCACTTTGTGCTGAGTCTAAATTGTTGGTGAGACCAGGAGTGACATAGTAGCTGTCATTTTAAAAGCACAGAATGCTGGGGCAGCTTCTCCCGGGTCTTCTTGTAGCTGTCATCCATGTATTTAGAGCATTGTATAGTCTGTCTTTGGAGGAGTCACACAAGAATAGTTTTAAATGTTTATTTTGCTGTTCTTCAATTTATTGCTGCAGTTTTCTCCTTCCCCCACCCCCTTTCATCTCTATTTTTTGGTGTGAGATTTATTTGCTCCCTTGCAACAGCCTTATGAAGTGGCTTCTTCCTATGCTTAATAGCTGTTTACTTTTATCTTTTAAACACTGAGAAGCCAGTAAGGATTAAAAAAAAAAAGAAGTTAAACTTTAAAAAAGGAACCTTAGGAGATCTAAAAAAAGGGGAGGGGGTAGATTCTTTTTTATGTCTTTTTGAAATGACCTCAGGTGGGTAAGTGGAGAGCATTTTGAAACCATAGTGTAGAATTAGATGGTGTCCTAAAAGAGCACACTCGTTGCAGACTGGCAACATGGGTGAATGCTTTCTTCTCTACTCCCTGCTAGTGATTTTGGCTTCGTTATGTGACTCACTGCACAGAGGACTGTGAGGACTCATGAGACCACAGAGCTTAGCACAGAGTTCCCAGCCTCTCCGGAGAAGGCTGAAGTAATGTACAAAATGGACTGCATAAATGTTAGAGTTCCAGGTTAACCTGGTTAAGTGAGTAACGACTCATGGAGTGTAGGCTTTAGAGTTACCTCTGTGAAGTCTTTGCAGGAAGTGGGCATAAATCCTCCCAAGGAGAGAAATATAATTAGCCAGTAATAACCCAAGGAGAAGCTGGGAGTGGGCAGAGCTCAAACTGAGCCAGAAAAGAAGTGATAGGTCTGTGGACTACACGCTGGGAGCAGTCCACATGTGGAAATAACAGCTGGGCTTTCTGCGAGGGTTGAAGCAGGAGGACTGGCATGAGCAAAGGTTGGGCGCCATCCATCCTTCCAGAATATTCTGTACCCCTGTGAAAATTGCCTGTTTTTGTCACATCTACTTTTTTGTTTGAGACAGGGTCTCTTACATAGTTCCTACTGGCCTTGAACTCACTATGTAGCCCAAGCTGTCCTCAGTTTGCACGAATCCTCCTGCCTTAGCCTCCCAAGTGCTGGGATTAGAAGCATGTGCCACCACGCCCAACTTCATCCACTTTTTAAGTGGACAAAACTACAAAGATCAAAAACATCACTGTAAGATTGAAGAGTTACTGTTTCTACAAAGAGATATTTTAAGATTTTAACCTTAGTGAGGATGCCTAACTTGTCTCATACTTTTCATGTTTGAGGAGAAAGGACAAGAGGAATTCTTCAAGATAGTGATTTTGTTTATCTAAAATATGTATTTTGGAGTAATAAAAGATAATGATGATTTCAATTCGAGATGAAAAAAAATCCAGGCCTTTAGATAGATTTTTTAGGACAGGTAAATTTTAAAACCTCCTTTTCATCTGTTAAAGTCTAAGGAGTAGAAGAAAGTTACTTTGGTTTTTCTTTCCTATGTTAGTGTATTTCATGATCTATATCACTTTACTGAGGTCATGTTATTGAATTTGATTTCATTTATCAAATTACTATACTTTGAAAACAGTGTAAGATGTTTCCTAAGAGTCACTGATATTTTGTTACTTCTAGAAAAACCATTAATGCTTTGCCATCACCAGAATGCAAGTTTGTTTCCCTCAATGCTTGAATAAAATAAATTTTCTATAATTTTTCTCAGAATAGTGAAATTTATGGGTGTAGCTTTCAGGGGGGCTGAATGCACTTACTTATAAGACATAACAGCTAATACAAGGGGCCAAGGATGTGGCTCAGTGGCGCCTGCCTGGCAAGCGCAAGGTCCTGAGTTCTATCCCCAGTACAGGGGAAAAAATAAGCTAATACAAAGTTTTTTTCAATATTCCTATTGTGAAGGCTGGCTTCAGTTTCCAGTGCTTCTCAGTCTTTCAGAAAGATTTTATTCCTTCAGAAAATTGTTTACTTTGGGCTTTTTGAATTAACGTCTTCTGTTTTTAAGTAATTAATAATAGTTGAGTTCCTGGGTTTTCTTTCTCTCAGCACAATCAAAAAATATGTATTAGGCCGGGGCCTCAGTCGTTTTGCCGCCTGCTGCACAAGCGCAAGGACCTGAGTTCGATCCTCGGTACCAAAATATATATATATATGTATTATATTTGTGTGTGTATAATTTTATATGTATGACATCTCAGGCCTTGAATGTGTACCAGACACTATGTGGCCTTTTATTCCAACTTGTAAAGAAGGTACTATGATCCCAATTTCTAGATAGGTAAACTGAGAATCAGACAAGGAAAATGATTTAAACAGATCAGTCTAATGATACAAGATCTCTGTGCATTTTTGCCAGTACTATTACATGGAATGAACACATATTCTTTCTCTCATTTTCCAGACCCTTAAGTTTCTAGCATTTTCTCAACTGTGCACTCCAGAACTCTGATTTTACTAGGATATACATTCTGCCAAAATAGGATTAAGTAATTAAATGAGTTTAGGAAATAGTGGCTTAAACAAAATACAGTGGATTTCTTTACTGCAAGACTCAGAACCTTAACATGCTCATGTGCGTTATGACTCATATGTTGTGAGAAAGGTGGAGATTTGTGGGTGTGTGGGTTGTGGAGGGAAGAAGATCTGCAAAGTCTGCTGTTTAAACAAGGCATAAAGCCATCAGTGGAAGAAACTTCATGCTACCATATAAAGAATGATATGGGTAAAGCAGCTTACAATTACAGTCATGGAGTATAGTTCTGCAGTAAGGTGTTTAATACCGGCAAATCCTCTCTTCTGTCAGAATAGCCCTTCATGCTTCTGTAAAGGGAAGGCACAGAATGTAGGTCTGATCTGCACTGCCTTTTATGTGCTCCTTTCTTTCTCTGCACTTTTACATTCTGGGCCATGTCCACCACAAACTTTCAGATTCCTCCAGCATCTCAGCACCTCTTACAAGTGAGGACCATTAATATGATGTCTGAAGACGTGAAGATGTTATATTAACATTTGAACTCTCTCTCTTTCATGGACTTTCAAGAAGGAATTGAAATGGTTTTCTCTCATTCTGCTCTAGGAGAAAATGTAGGTCAGACACCTATGAACATCAACCACCAGCAGACCCGCTTCCCTGATTTCCTTGACTGTCTTCCCGGAACGAACGTTGACCTAGGAACTTTGGAATCTGAAGATCTGATCCCCCTCTTCAATGATGTAGAGTCTGCTCTGAACAAAAGTGAGCCCTTTCAGACCTGGCTGTAGTCACTGCTATTGTAAGTGGGAAGCAGCCATGACCTGACATTTCCTGGGCCTCTTGGAAAAAGTGATGGAGCAGAGAAGGTCTGCAGGTGCACCACTTCCTGCCTCCATGACTCATGTGCCCTCTTTCCCATGTGGCCAGTTTAGTCTTTGCCTGGTTTTGATTGACAGTAACTTAAGTTACATATAAATATTCTGTTTTCATTTTCTGCAGTCCTGCATTCCCATGATAGATGATGCAGAATTGTGTCTACAGAATTACTTTTTCCTCTCTGCTGCCCCATGGCTAAGCTTTATTGGTGTTAGTTGACATTTATACATCAGTTTATTGTAAACCATAAAAAGCTGACCACAGGTAGCAAATTTGGATGGGCAGCTTGGTCCAGGAAATGTGCACAAAATTAGACCTGTTTTACATTTTCAAAACTGTATTGATGACAGTAGTACCAAATGCTTTAAAACCTATTTAACTTGAGCTTTAAAAATCATTGTATGGATAGTAAAATTCTGCTGTATGGAATACAATGTAGTTTTGAATCCATGTTAGCTCTGATGGCTCTTATTACTCTGTATTTACAAAGGCACAGACAGTTCTATTTTAGTTTATTTTTCATTGTTTTACTGCATAGCATCTAGACAACTTAGTCCTTCCAGCAGGAGAGTAGCAGCAGCATTAGAATTCTTACCTAGAGATCTTGTGAAAGAGACCAGTTTGTACTAATGATTAGCATTTGTTAAACAAAACTTTTTAATTGCAACATGGATTTGTTAACAGTGCAACTTAGAGTTTGATGTTTATTTAGAAAACACTATAATTTTTGTAGCTGATGACAAAGGACAGCCAAATGTTTTCGATAAATCAGTGGCAACTGTATTTTTGTCTTTTGAAACCATTCTAAAGACTTTGGAATTTCAACCTGATGGCAGATGCAATAAGCTGTTGCTTTTCAAATTCTGAAGCCTTGTCAATTTTGCTTTCAAGATTTCAAGTGTTTAAAATAAGCCTATCTATGAAACTGTTTGAAGGATGAAGCAGATCTCTGACTGACGTGTAACAAAAATGCCCTCTGAGAGCATATGGTGGAGACATGTTTCTGAATGCAGTAAAATTGATTCCTAAATATATTATTCTAACCCTGTTTGCTACAGTTGGTATAAAAAGGCATGAGCTATGTATTTAATACCTCTTATGTAACCCAAAACTTTAGTAGCTTTTAAGGACTGAGAGAGCATCACGTTCACCTGGCATGCAGTCTACCTGCATTGCCAATGAAGTCCTCAAGGGTTTAATATTTTGAATGACATTATTTATAATCTATGAGTTTAACCATTTTTAAAAAGAAAAACATTAATAATCCAGGTCTCTGAGAGGAACCTTTCAATTCCCAAGGGTGGGGGGGATTTGTTGATGATCTTAAAGAAGATCCTTTTTGATCTATCAGAATATAAATGTACAGACTACATTTGATCTTGTTGGAAAGAAAGCAAGTGAAAAGGTCAGAGGTGAAGTTATGAAATATAATGGAAGGGATACTAGTTGTGAAATGAAAATAGACAAGGAATAATACCCCAATAGCAAGACAAGCAGATGTGAGAGGTGCCCCCAAAAGAATAAAGCAACAATTTTCTACTACAACCTTCATACCAAATGACTCTGTTGTAGAAGAAAAGAGGGCTTTGGTGCACTTTATGTGGGAGAAGAGGGAAGGGCCAGTGCTGTGGTAGCCTGTCCATACTGATGCTGAACAATAAGCAGACAGGAGCAGGAGCTGCTGTTGCTTCCAGCACTCTCAAGTGTCTTCTCTCTCCTGAAGGACCCACGGTTTATGTTCCACTAATTCTTTTTGCTCCTCGAGCACTCTGAGAGGGTGAAGGTAGATGTTTATATTGCTACTAAATTGAAAGGGAGCATCCTTTCTTTTTCTTTTTTGTAAGCAAAAATTGCAAAAAGTTGTACATTCTAAGAAAAAAAAAATAAGGGACCTAACAAAACTCAGCAGTGTTACTGTATTTTTAAAAAATATTTTTATAGATGCATTTTCAAGTTATTAAATGTAAGAGAAAGAGATAGCCCTCTTTTTTTTTTAAGTAGTTAAATCATTGATTTATATCACCAACTTTTAGAAGTAATTTTCTAGTAAGCTCATGGCATTAGAAAATTCTAGAGTAATTTTTTTAGTGAAATTAGTTGGAACATTTATTAATGAATCTAATAAATATGAATAAAATATGGACCCTATTTGTTTACTCATAGATAAAGGCAGATAATTTTTTTGTTTTTAAGGCCATAAAATATGGCTTTTGTCATTCAAGACTGAAATCTAAAGTAAGAGATTTTTTTTTTTTTTTTTGGTACCGGGGATCAAACTCGGGTCTTTGCGCTTGCGCAGCAGGTGGCGAAACCACTGAGCTAAATCCCCGGCCTAGTAAGAGCTTTTTTTATTTTGTTTTTCTCAGTGCTAGCGGTTGAACAATCTAGGGCGCATGCTAGGCAAGCATTCTTCCACGGAGCTACACCCCCAGCCCTCAAGCAACTTTTAAATGACTGTTTTCTATTATTGTAAGTGTTAAACCCCTCAGAATTCATGATAAGGTGCTATTTATACTATATATCTTATTATAAGACAACTGCAGGATACCTAGTCTTTGTAGTCCAAAATCAATCAATCAGTTTTACCATCTCACCCCAAAATTTCACTATGCGAAAGGCATATTTTAAAAAGTGAAGTTGAAAAGGAATTTCAGAGATCTTTTATTCAAGATGTTTTTTTTCTGATGAAATACATTTTCTTTTAGCGAAAGAAAGGTCCGAACCTTTTGGTAATTCTGTTACATATAAGTAACAGCCTGTGTTTCACTGTAGTATTTAGGATGTGGAATGCCATTTGTTTGGCCGGTGACACAGTATGTGGTAAGGGTGAAGACTGTAAACACCTTGGTGTGCCAAGGCACTGGGGCCCCGGGAGAAGAGATGTGTGAGACGTAGGTGGGCGGGACTGGGAGCGTGTGCTCATGACTGGTCCATTCTCATCACGCAATTAGAAAGTAACTTAGGAAAGTACATCTTGTATTAAAAAAAAAAAAGCTGTTTTAAAAAAAGGAACTTGTAGATCCATTTGAGCGGGAAAATGGGTGATTGACAGAGACCGTTTCCCTAACACTACATCATTTCTGTGCTAGTACTTTTAACTTTTTAAAGAATTTACGTCTACATTTTGTAATATGACATATGTGTGTTTATTTTTAATTTCAAATGATGTGCATACAGAAAGTATGCAACCAGATCAATCAGATCAAACCATTTTACTTAGAGTTTGGTACTGGTTTTTACTTCTCTGATTCTGTATAAGAAAAATAAATATAATTGAATTTCCACTTGGAGCCTCCGTCTTTTCATTATTTGTGTATGTTCTTCTGACTGAGGGTTTGGGTGGAACTGGAGAGAGGCTTATGTAACCTCCTGGCAGACAATGAAAGAAAGAAAATTCTGTAGGCAAACATTTTTTTGGCCCACATGCCTGGCCTTCAACATTCTAAATGTCTGCAAAATTCTGGTTTCTACTTTATTTGAAGTAGCCCCCTGATATTTTTGTTTTGTTTTGTTTTGTTTTTGCTCCCTGATATTTTAAAGGTGTGTATCCCTACCAACACTCTGACAGATTTAACTCAACATCACAACTGTAAGATTCTTACTCCTGCGTGTTATTAACAGTATGATGTGGTCCCTTTTGTTCTCAAAACTAAATCCAGAGCAGGTTGCTGTTCATTCTGAGTTTGGGCTTATGACCATATATTTTTTCTGTTGAGTCCATTGGTTGGTTCTCTGTCCTGATACCCTACTGTGGAAATGGGAACACTCTTAGCAGAAGCCTTCCATTGAGCTGCAGAAAGAGCCCCTGGGCTCATAGAAACAGTCAATCAATGTCCCAGACTCTAAGTCTCATGCATTTTGTTTTTAGTGGTACTAGGAATTGAACCCAGAACCTTTTCTGTGCGTCACATCCCCATCTTGTTTTAATTTTTTTTTTTTTTGATACAAGTTCTCACTAAGTTGCTAATTTGCCCAGGCTAGACTCAAACTTGTGATCTTCCTGTCTCAGCCTCCCAGAGTACTGGCATTACAGGTGAGGGCCACTACACCCAGAAGTCTTAGGCATCTTTTTAAAAAATTTTGTTTCATTTCATCAGCACTTTTAAGGAAATAAGTGCTCATTGTTGAAAATGTTAAGTTCCAACATATATTAAGTAAAAAAGTAAAAGTTCTGTTTCTCCCAAATGTCAGACTTAAGAAAAAAGTATGCCAGAATTTTTTTTCCCTATAATTGGACTTTAAACAAAGAAACAATTACGTATACTATTTTGACACTTGCATTTTATACTTGTTGAGTATGTGCTAGGCACTATGTAAAACACTTGATAGATATGATATATAACTTAATCTATACAACAAACATAATAATATTATTATTGTCCTCATTTGACAGTTGAAGATGTGGAGGTGTAGAAAGGTTAAGTATTTGCACAGGGTCACACAGCGAGCAACGGATAGATCCAGTGTCTCATGAACTTCTCTCCATGCCAATACATACAGTTATATATTTCATTATTTTAAACCACAAATAATATTCCTTTGTATGGTTGTCACCTATTGGTAGTTTTCAGTTTCTTACTCTACAAATAATGGTAAGTGAACAGTCTGCTTTTGTGTGACCGTGGCTAGAGATAAATTCCTAGGAAAAGAACCAATGTATCCAGCGATATGTGATTTTAAAATTTGATCGCTTCTGTCAAATATTTTCCCCAAAAAGGACTTGAACCAATTTATGTTTCCAACAGTGTATGCAAATCCTGTCATTATTGCCATCCTATGGGTAGATGTTTCTTATACCTTAAATCTTTGCAAATACAATAGGTGGAAGGTGTGTTGCTGTTGTAGATGGTGTGGTGCTTTAGCTCTAAGATGGCCTCAGAAGCCTTGCGTTTGGCAGGCGACTGGATCATGGGATGCTGACTGCCCGGAATGTGCTGTTGGGACATGGGGCCTGGTGGGAAAAGCAGGGGTCATGACCGGGAAGGGTGTCTCTCTCCCGGCTCCTCCCTTGCTCTCTGCTTCCTGGCCACCATGATGTGAGCAGCTTTTCCTCTTCTATGCTCCTCTGCCATCCTGTTTCTGCTTTGGAGCTAGCTGACCATGGACTGAAAACATGAGCCAAGCTGGGTGTGGTGGCACATGTTTGTAATCCCAGCACTCTGGGAGGCTGAGGCAGGAAGACCATATGTGCAAGCCCAGCCTGGGCAATGCAGTGAGAGGTCTCAAAAGGGCTGGAGATGTAGCTCAGAGAGAAGGCCTTGGGTTCAATCCCCAGTACCCACCACCACCACAAACAAACAAAACCTGAGCCAAGATAAACCTCTTTTCCTCCTTTAAGTTGCAGGTGTTGGGTATTTTGTCCAGTGACAAAGAAAGTGACTGAGTCAGATTACATTCCTTGAACTAATAGTGAAATTGAGTTATTTTTTTCATAATGCAGTGACTTTAGTGGATGCTACCAGTTTTCCAGCCAGATCACCTTAGATTCCTCCTTACCTTTTTTTCTTTTTTCCTCCTTACCATTTTCGTTTGGTTTTGTTTTTGTTGTGTTTTATGAGATGGGGTCTTGGTATGTAGTCCAGGCTAGCCTTGACCTCAGTATGTAGCCTGTGGCTCCTCAGCCTCCTGAGTCCTGGGATTAGAAGCATGTGCCATCACACCCTGCTTTCCTCATCATCATTTTTGTGCATTTTACTCCCCGATCCCAGAGTGTTTTTACTTCTAAAAGTCAGCACCTCTAGCTCTTAAAAATATGGCCAGGGAGCTGGGGATTTAGCTCAGTGGTGCTGCCCCTTGCCTTGAAAGCCCAAGGTCCCAAATTCGATCCCCAGTACCCCCCAAAAAAGTATGGCCAGGATCTATTTGCCCCCACATACACAGAAAGCTAGAAACACAAGGAGAGCATAACATTCTCTAGCACAGCCCTTGGTCAGTGATGAGTGAGTCCCCCACAGAGTTCCCTGGGGGTCAGGCAGAGACCACCTCTGTGACACTTTGGGAGTACACTCTTTCTTTGTTTCTTCATTTTCCCTCTTTCACTACTCTCTTATATTTCTCCTATAAATACACACTTCCATAATCCTTTCTAAGTTTTTAAAAAATAAATCACTTGTAATCCTGATACAAGGGCTTACTTCTGGCAACCAGACCTAAAATAACCCAGGATGTATGACAAACTCTTACAAATCAGTAAGAAAAACAGCTTGATAGAAATATAAGCCAACAATATATATAGAAAATACAAAGAAGATGAAACTGAGTGCCAGCTAATTTTCAATCTCATTAACTGATTAGAAATTTAGATGATGATACACCATTTCACTTCTAGCAAATTTCAAAAAAATTAAAAAGACTGGCAACACCAAGTGCTGGCAGGGATATGGGGAAATGGGAACAACTAATGCACTGTTAGTGGTAGTGTAAATGAAAACAGGTACTTGACAGTCTTCGTGAGGCAGGCAGCTTGGTTTGTTTTGTTGACCATAGTCAGTTCCTTGGGCATACAGGGCTTGCCCAGGGCATAGTGGATGTCCAGTATTTATTGAATGAAATAATTTTTTGGTGCATTATATTCCCCAGGAAGCAAGTAGTTGCAGAGAGAACACTAGAGAAAGTTAGGTTGTAAAACGGGAAAGTAACTTTTCAGAAAATTTAGTTGACTAAATGAATCTGTCACCAAACAACAGAATGATAAGCCTTGCTGCTAATCACATCCAGCTACTTGAGCAATCTAGACATCAAGCAAACCTGTGCCTTAGCCAAACCAGCTCAGAGCTGGGATTTGTGCATCTGAAACAGTGATAGCAAATCTCTTAGAGACAAGTGCCAAGACTGCAAACCAAAACCCACTTATTTATCACCAAGTGCCAACAATGCATTCAAACCTGAATACGGAGGCTTTAGTTTAGAAAAAACAACTCATACATTAGCTTCTTTTGTTTTAAAAGAAAAACAAATAATACATATACCATGGGTTCCCTACCACTGGTCTATAGGGTTTTTAAGCCTTCTTTCCTTTCTTTTCCTTTCCTCTTCTTTCCTTTCCATTTCCTTCGCTCCTTCCCTTCCTTTCTTCCTTCTTTCCTCTTTTCAATTCTTTCTTTATTACAATGTATGTAAAATTCAAGAGTTAGCATTTCCAATGAAAAAGATAATTATGTGTTTGGTTTTCTTTGTTGTTGTTTTTTCTTGTTTTTTGTTTGTTTTTTTGGTACTGGGGATCGAACTCAGGACCTTGTGTTTTCAAGGCAGGCATGGTGCCACTGAGCTAAATCCCTGCCCCGAAAAGATAATTACGACCACTTATGTTGTAGGTTTTTTTCATGGGACACTAGATCTTTTACATTATAATTAAATGTTGTGAGGACATTATAGCTCCTGTATATATCATTTGTTTAATGCCCATGGAAGCACATATAAAAAGATCTTGTAGGATCTAGGTTAAAATTGGTGAAGCTGATTTCCTGCCCAGAACAGTAAAGTTTCTGATCACTGGAAAAAGATGAGTCTATGAAGTCTGCCCCTAAAACAGAGGGCATTTGTTTCAGGGACAGCCCTGAGAGCCTGGTCCTCAAAGCAGAACTTAATGTGAGACATTATAACTTTCTCTGCAATGTCTGAAATTTCAACACCCACCAAACAATCAACCAGTGCCTTTTACTTTTCAGTCTTTGAAGGCTCTGAAAACCTGATAAGCAGGTTTAGATGCTGTTCGTGCGCACGCGCACACACACGCGCGCGCACACACACGCACGCGCGAGCGTATGCACTTATATTGAATTCCAGATGCTCATAGATTCACTAAAATAACTCTGTCCCATAAAGCATGACCCTGATTGAACTGTAAACTCCTGTAGAAAAGGGAGTGAATTTTTCAACATTATAATTCTCGTGCCCAGTCAGTGCCTTTAACAAAACAGAGGTTATTCATTATTGATGAATAAATGAATGAATGGTTGAGATCAATATGCATATTTTCACTCTGATTGATATTAGTGACTCTGAGAATGTTGGGAGATGTTAGAGAACATCCTAAGGTTCACCTTGTATTTGTCCTTGTCCTCAGGAGAAACCAAATCTGGCTTAAGACCAATGTACTCAGACCTACTCCAGATGAACTCAGTGGTAGGAAATGCTTCGAGAGTGGGGTTCTTCTGACAGGGGAGCCCTGTGAGACTCATGGGAGAATACATGAAGCCAGGCCTGGTCATTGGTTCCTGTTGATGGGTTATGCAATTATGCAAAGCATGGGATTTAAATGCTAGTGTGTCTCTCTGTAAGAA